TAGAACCCCAGCTCTGCCCAAACCCATCTTTCCCTTCCCGTCTTTTGCCCTTGTAAATCCACAGGCCTTGAGGACAAGTAATGTTAATCCTCCATCTGGCATTTCCCTGAGCCCTGTGTGACAGGCATGGGGTATACAGGGCGGACAAGCTCTGGTCTCCACAGGCTGGTTGTACTCACCAAGTGAGGCGTGAATCGCAAAGGAAACACTACAATGAACAGTGGTATATTGTGTGAAAGAAATGAAGGGCAGCACCTAAGAATAAATAAAGGGTTTGGGTCAGGAGACATTTGCCAGAAAAGTCTTTCAATCTGGCTGATTGAAGGAGCGACAGTGCTCGGTGGCAGCAAGGGCCCTGCTTCCTTGAAGTGGGAAGGAGGCAAGTGAGCTTCAGCACAGACACTGGAGAGGGAGGGGCAGGAGGGGGGGGACAGCATCTAGAGGCTTTTGAAGTGCCACAATGGTGAAGATTTCTTTCCAAAGTGACATGTGCCTTGGCTAACCTGTACTGAACTCCTGCCTAGTGTCAGCGCACAGGTGCTCTTTTGTGGCATCTGCAGGGCCCTCCTGCAGAGATGAAGGACAGAGCAGTTAGGGTGTGAGTTCACCGCAAGGGAAGGGACAGTGCTAAGCTATCCCCACCATGCCCAACACCTCTGATCTCCAGGCGGGCTGGCCTGGGGCCCCCGAGTCTGAGCTGTCTGCCCTGGACCAGGAAAGGCAGCCTTTGGAGTGAGTCCGGGTCAGATGAGACCAGTCAGTGCAGGGAGTATTCTGTGTACTTTGTAAGTCATAAAATAATTCTCAGCAGTGAGGCTTTTTTTTTTTTTAAGATTATTTATTTATACAGAACTGGGGTACAGGCCAGAGATGCGGAGGGTGAGAGGATTCACCAGAGACAGAGGGGAAGCAGAACAGGCAGATCGATGAAGTACACTGCTGAGGGAAGCAGCAGGCAGGTCAGGAGAGGTCTGCCTCGCCATGTGGATCTCCTCCGGGGGCAGGCGGGGATCGAACTCATGCGGAAGTGGCTTACGCTTCTTAGTGCAGTGCTTTAACCCACTGCGCCACCAGGGAGGGCCAGTGAGGCTTTTTATTATCCTCAGCAACTCATCTGTCCCAGGTTTTTCCCTCTCCATCTTCCTGGAGCTGTTGCTCATCTCCAGCTGTCAGAAACGTTATCTCCTCCTCCCAGAATCTGCATTGTGAGACATCTGTGGGGTTGGGTGGACAGGTGGGGTCTGACTCAGGGACTTTCTGCTGAGCAGACCCTGAGAGTGGCCTGCATCTTGCCTGTCTGGGTGCAGGGTACCCCTCCAAGCACTTGCAGAGCAGGTTTCTGCCTCCTCCCCTAGTCTAAGGCAGGTGACTGGGAGAGCATAAGGAGGTGCCCCAGGGCACAGGCAAAGACAGGGAGGGGCAGCCCTCTGGCATTGCAGTCTTTCAGGAGGACAGAGATGTGCTTTCTCAAGTCAGCCTTCAGCCATCAGCATGCAGGCAGCGTCACTCTCCCTGTGGAAGTTGTAACTGAACCTTATGGAGGACCTGATCTCTGGATGCAGGTAGGTGAGGCTGCTTCTCTGCAGCGCAGGGCCGGTGGGTGGTTGAACTGAGGCACTCACGCTCCAGAGAGGCCCTTGGGAGCAAGAACCAGTCTGGCAGCCGACTGCCTGGGTCACGGCGGGTGCCAGCTGTCCTAGCTCTTCCCGTGTGAGGACCCAGGGAACCCAGTCACCTCTCAGGGTTCTGCTCCTTCGCCTGCATCTGATGTTGTTTTTTGGAGTTAGCGTGGGGTCCTTGGGTTCACTCTGGGAAAGGTTTCACCAGAGCTCTCCTTTCAGCGGCACATGGCGAATTCCCCAGGTGAGTTTCTCCACGAGACAGAAACTCAGTTATATTTAAAGAGCAGGTTTATTAGGGAAAAGGACAGGAGCATTGGACAATTACATAGGCACAAGCAGGCAGGGAGAGATGCCCTGGAAGGGACAGGTTTGCTGAGAGAGAGACCTGTATGGTTGCTTAGAAGAGCAACCTCCACTGAGGGAGGTCAGTGCAGAGAGGTCCTGGAGGTGCATGTCACGGGCAGGCGAGAGGCTGCTGTCCTGTGGAGGAAAAGTGTGTCCTGTGGAGGAAAAGAGTCTGCCCACCTGTGACTATACTGTCACAGGTGGGCAGAGGGCTGCTGCCCTGTGCTGGTACAGAGACTGCACTGATTTAGACATACTCTCTCTGGGAGGGGCTCACTTCTTGTGAGCTTAGGTTTGTTGATTTGGGACAGAATCTGAAAGGGACAGGAGATCCCACAACAGGTTCCATCTCCACATCTTTATCTTTCATCTTTTGGGTTTGAGCTCTAGACACCACCCTCAGCAGTCTGCTACCTGCTTGGATCTTATGCTCTGTAATCCAGGCACTGGCACCTGAGCGTCTTGATTTTTACGGCGTGTCAATGGCTGTGCTAGTCCCGTCTACCCCAGCTCCCTGTGTGAGTCAATCTTGTGACGCCTTCTTTCCATTCTTTCCTCCATCACACTCAAGTGTGTGAGGGTGGGAAGCCTCAGCCTATAGGCACGCTTAGGAAAGAGGACAGCTGGTGGGCATCAGGCGTGTGCGTGGCCCCCACAGGCCTCTAACAGTGCACTGTCCTCATGGACCCAGGGGGAGCCCGGGAGGCCCAAGTGTAACAGGTACAGGTTTCATGGACTCCGCCCCCACTCCAGATCAAAGCCCATCAATACCAATGAGAAGCACGCTGGGACGTGAGGGCGGAGCTGAGCAGCCAGGTTGGGATAAAACTGGACATGTGGGCTCTGGGGGTCTTTGGCCTGGTGGTTTGTGGCTCTCGATTGGTTTTCAGCGTGCTGGTGGAGTCCAAGTCAGCAGAACTGGTAGGACATTCTAGATAACTCATATTTCTTTTTTTTCCCCTTGGGTTGTTCCTTTACCTTCCTCCCTGTAAATGAATCCATTATCGCACCTCTTTGTGTGTGTCCACAGTACAATTGAATCTTAAGCACGTGGGTGAGGACCCACAAACAGGCAGCCCAGTTCACATTGCGGTGCTCTGCAACACAAGGACAGTACAGTTAGGACAAGAGACAAAGCCAGGTTTCCTCTGAGGTTGGTGGTGTTGCTGAGAGAGCACAAGCAAGCAACAGGTGGGTTCCCCATGCTGTGGGAGGGCTCAAGGCTGCGGGACATGGAGGTTCAGACATGTCACTGCTGGTTGGGTTCTGGTGGCCTTCCTGATGCAGGGTTAGGTTTCTTATGGCTTCGAATCTGAAACAACTGCATCTCTCTGGTCCTAGGCACATCCTGCTTGTGCTCAGGGAAGCACCAGCAGGTGGGGGAGGGGCGGGGGGCTCAGTTTGTGTGAGGGAGAGGCGTATGCAGTCAGCATGGCACCTGTAGCTGCTGGCACAGCTCTTGCCCTGGCGCCCAGCACAGGGGAAGGCAGAGGCTGTAGACAGCGCTGTGGAATGTGAGGGCTGACATGTCTCAGGCCCTGGGCTCTATACTGAGCCCTTGATTGTGGTGACATTTCTGTGAGAATTGCACAGGCTTTCAGGGTTCGCAGCTAAAGGAGCAGATATAGAGAGAGGTACTCAGGAGAGGAAGCCTCTCCCCTCAGCCAGACTCCCTGCCCAGCAGTCCACTCACCAGGGCCCAGTCAACTGCCCCTCACTGTCCATGTGTAATAAGGTGGTCCCTAGGAAAAGGTTAAGTTCCAGGTTCCCTGTGCTACCCAGAAGGAGGGTGGAGCTGAGGAGAGAAAAAGGGGAGAAGAGAAGGAATCAGAGAGAAGAAGAGAAGGAAGCTGGATGGAGAACAAGAAGGAAACCTGAGGAAGCCACATGGAGCAGCAAGCATGTGATGAAGAAACTGGGCTTGTTTCCTGACCCTGGACTGGTTAAGGCAGATGTGGGTGAGATACCTGTAGGGAGGTGACTATGGCAGTGTTTATATTGATTTTGATTTTGCTCTTTTCCTCCCAGATTTGTCTGGCCATTTCTGACCCTTTTCCCTGGGTCCCGGCCAGAAGGTGCTTTAGTCTTGTGGCGGGCTTTCAGGCCTTGCTTTGGGCCAATCCCTTTTGGGTTGACTTTTGCCCACAAGGGGGTGGGTAACTTCAGGTGTTTGATTTAGAAGTTATATTCTCTGTGTTCTGTATTGTATATTCACTGTATTAAAGTCCCTTTTCATTAAAGTTTTATATGTTTTGTCTTGTTGCGGTGGATGGCAGAACCCACAGACAGGCAACCCAACTCATATTGGGGTGCCCTGTAACACATGTACCTGAACAACTCAGGATGCTCTCTCAAACTTCCTACTCTGTCTCTCCTTGACTTCTGTTTCCCTGCTAAGTGCCACATAAGGCCTCCTCACCAGGGCCACCAAGTGCTCCCCAAGGTGGAACCTTGTGCATAACGACTGTGGAACACATACTCTCTCTCTCTCTCACACACACACACAGGACCTCTTTAGCATGGAGGCTGTTCCCAGAACTCTGAAAAAGAGTGCGAGCAGACCAGAACCCCTCTAGGCTGGCCCCATTTTCTGAACCCCACTGTTATGCAAAATCCCAGCCAGAGGCCAGGCAGGACAACAGCCCTTAATCTTAGTCCCTATATATTTGCCCCACCCCTTTAACTCCAAATTCAATACAATGTGGTGAATATCCATTGTATGCTTCCTGAGAACCAGCCACCCAGGTAGGGGGACACTTCTCCAGAGGCCAGTGACCAGCACATAACAACAGTGAGCTGATTGTTTGGGGATGCCCATGCACATGTGCAACTGGGATACCTGGGCAGGTGCAGGGAGCCATGGGTCAGCAGTGTTTGCATTGTTGTTTTATTTCTGTTAAACAGTCATTCTTGAGAGCTGCCACACCCAGCATCTCTGAAAGGAGCCTTGTCATCAGGACCCTGCAGGGGAGACCATGCCCTACAGGTGCAAGACCAGCCAGCTGTGACAGTCTGCTGCTCCTACCAGGAAGTATGAGTGGTCAGTTGGCTCCCGGCCCCCAGGGCACAGCTGCCTGGCCAGCTTCCCGCCAGTTCATTGGCAATTCACCCAGCATGCCCCCTGCAGCCAGCAACGTCTCCCTGAGCCTCAGAGACCACAGGGTGCCCATCTCTATGCTGCGCTGGCTCTTCGTCCCCTCGGGCCTGCTGGCTGCGGCCACACTGGCCTTGAGCCCCCTGCTGCTGGTGACCATCCTGCGGAGCCACAGGCTGCGCCGAGAGCCCCACTACCTGCTGCTGGCCAACATCCTGCTCTCGGATCTGGCCTATGTCACCTTCCACATGCTCATCTCCTCCAGCAGCCTGGGTGGCTGGGCCATGGGCCGCATCGCCTGCGGGGTTCTCACAGACGCCGCCATGGCTGCGTACAACAGCACCATCCTGTCCTTCACGACCACTGTGCTGCACACCTATCTGGCGGTGGCTCATCCTCTCCGCTACCTCTCCTTTATGTCCTGCAAGGCTGCCCGGAAGACAGTGGCCCTCATCTGGCTGGTGGCCTGCCTCTTCCCCACGTTTCTCATTTGGTTCAGCAAGCGGCAGGACACCAGGTTGGTGGGGCAAGGGGCCTCCTGCGTCCTGCAGTTGAGCCTGGAATCCCAGCTAGGTCGCAGTCCCCTGGTCACTGTCACCTACAGCTGCATCTTGTGCATTCTCTTTCTGTGCCTAGCTCTCATCAGCTACTGCTTCTGGAGGATTTATGCAGAGGCTAGGACCTCACGTATCCTGATACAGGACTATTCCAGGGCAAGAGGCACTCTGTTCATCCACACAGTGTTGATTACGTTGTATGCTAGTCCAGCGGTGGTGTTTTCCCTGGATGTCGTGCTGACCAAGTACCACCATATTGGTGCCAGGGCTCACATGTGGCTCATGGCAGCCAACAGTGAGGTGTTTATGATGCTCCCCCGGGCCATGCTCCCATATATGTACACCCTCCGTTACCGGCAGCTGCTGGCGACAGTCCAGGGCCACTTCTCATTTAGGAGACACAGTGACATCTTCACCATCTTTCAGAGTTACAGACCGCACTGGCTGGCAAGCTGAGGTGAAAGGTTACATGTTAGATGCATCAGCATTTCATTTTGGCCAACTCCTTAGACTGCAAAATATAGTTGTGGATCAAGACCTCAGCTGATAGTTTTCAATATTTCAACAACTCTTAAGCTCTTCGTAAGAAACTGAAGCCCTACTTGAAATGGAAGCAGGTAAAGGTGACTCAGCAGAACTGTACTGGCTTCCTCCACAGCACTGAGGAGGCATCAGTGAAGACACCCAGAACCCACATGTTACTGAAAATCGAAGTCTGGGAAGTAAGCAAGCAGACCAGCTGAGTTGGGGTCACTCACCTCTGTTGGGGGATTTGCCTGCTTTGATTTTGTTTTTGGGCAGGAAAATATTTCTTGAGCACTCTTAAGCAGAAGTCACTCTTCAGACAGCATTCAAACTATTTGGTGTTTGATATGGTTCTCCTGGAAGATCATGGAATTTCCATAGAAAAAGAGTTAGAAAGAAAATGAGTTGTACTTAAATCAAAATCCCCAAACTACACAGGGGAATTAGGCACCATGAATGAGAGTGAAAAGATACAGACTAGTGGAAATATACTTCTTTCCCTTGAACTCTCAGACACTTGGTTCACCTAAAAGTACTGTCATGAAAATAAGAGTGGGAACAATGTACTTTAAAAATATCCAAGTAGATCTAGGAAAGAATCAAATAGCACTTGTAGAAATAAAAATACATAGGCCCTCCCTGGTAGTGAAATGGGTTAGGACACAGCACCACAATCTGGCCACAGCCACTTCAGTGCGAGTTCTGTCCCCAGCTGGGGGGTGACCCACATGGCACAGCAGACCTCTCCTGTCTCGCCTACTGCTCCCCTCAGCAGCGTACTTCTCCAAGCTGCCTGTTCTGCTCCCCACTCTGTCTCTTGTGAAGCCTCTCACAGCCCCTGTACCTCTGGCCTATACCCCAGCTCTGTATGCCTAAATAAATAAATCTTTTTAAAAAAGAAATAAAGTACATAGCAATTAGAATTATAAAACATAGTTTATATTTAATATAATAACAAAACACAACTGGAGACATATTTTGCAAACAGGAAGACAATTTCAAATTAATTATCTGAAATTAAGTATAGAGGAACAAAGTGATAGAATATAAAAGAGGTTAAGAGGTTAGTATCAGAAAGACTAACCTACATCTAATTTGGGAATATGATAGAGAAAATACAGAAAACAAACATTTGAAAAGACAGTAGCAAATGATTTTCAGAATTATTGAATGACATCAAACTTCAGATCCAAGAAGTCCAACCAGTTACAAATAAGATAAATTACAAATAATTCACCTGAGGCACAAGGTGTGATACTGTAGAAAACCAAATTCAAAGATAAGATTTTGAAGCTGGCAGAGCTAAAAAACAAAGCCACAGCAGTTAAACTGACAGCTGACTTCTCAGAAAACAGTGAAAGCCTGAAGAGATGAAATAGTATTGTCAACATGACAAGAGAAAATAACTGCCGACCTGTAATTCTATGTACAGGAAAATGATCTTCCTGAGAGCAGAATGAAGGTCATTATAACTCAAAACCCAGAAAAGAACATTCCTAACAATGCACATTAAATTAGTTTGGAAGAAGGTGTTTCTGGCTGGAGGGAAACTATTCCAGATGGAAGGTTTGAGATGTGCAAAGAAATGGTGAGAAATGAACATGGAAAATTTTGCACATAAATATGAACAATCATGATCTGTTAGCTATGTAAAGTCAATGAAAATGTCTATATTGGGGAATTAGAAGAAAAAAGAAAAGTATTGTGAAAAATAGCATAGGAGTTAGGAGGGTATAATTGTGCTTAATATTCAGGCGTTCTAATAGTGTTAAAAAATGTTAATATTTGTTAAGCATGAGTGTCAAAGTGCCTGAGGGAACCACTAACAGACTAGACAAAGAGAGGATGATTTTCTAAATACTCTATGGAACAAATGAAATGAGCAAGAGAAAAAACGAAAGCATCTCAAAAAAGACAAGACAGGAAACAGTACATTGAACTGTCAGGACAAATAGCAAGTGTGATAGAATCCAAACAAACTTAGCTATACTAACACAATAAATTTAAATAGACTAAAATTTTATGATGGAAAGACAAATATCAGTTTTCTTTACAAGCACACATTTATGATTTTAAGTTATCACCTGTAACAAAGAACAAGGAATGGCTGGGAGTAAGAAGACAAAAAACAAATATTCATCAAATGTAAGTTAATAAAGCAGACAGTGTAGTTTGGTGGTTTTTTGGTTGACACCAGTGTTTATTTCAGAAAGAAGGGCTTAAAGATCTGATCTTTTCGGTAGGTTCCAGCTTCTCTGTTAGCCTTTGGGTTACAGAACTTGTATCCAGCAAAAACAGCTTTGTTCCTGGGAACCTCCTCAATCCAGATAGGTTGGTTACATTTGGCAAGATGCTCTGAATGGCAGAAGGTACCAGCACCACCCTGCCACACCTCCATCCCCTCACCCCCTTTAGACTGAGCCAGTTTGCAGGCCTGGATGGATTAGGTCACCAAGTCAATCTGGTAAACCTTCAGCAGCTGGTAGTTGCAAGCCTTCTTCTCAATGGTCTAGGCTATCTCCTTGGGGTTGGTGACTATGAGGTCATCCCCCAGAATCTGGATGTTGAAACTTGAGAGGACTGACGTCCAAGTAGCCCAGTCATCCTGGTCAAAGGGGTACTCAGTGGAAAACACAGGATGGTTCTTGGTGAAGCTCTTGTACAACTCTCTCCAATGATGTGCTGTATGGGGTCATTAGGAGATTTAGAGTCAAGGCTGTACTTCGCATAAAGAACACAGAAACCGCCACATCCATACCAAACACCATCTTGTCTGGGTAACCAGCCACCAGGATGGCATTTCCAAGACCTCAATGTTCCCTAGGGAGGTGGGCGTGAAGCCTCCCTCATTACCCACAGTGGTGGCATCCTTCTCTGACTTGGCCTTGATGACTCCCTGCAGGTGATGGTAGACCTTGGTGCCCATGTGCGTGGCTTCTTTGAAAACTGGCCCCCAGAGGCAGAACTAGTTGGCTAGTTTCCAGCATGGGAGTCCACACGGATCCCATTGAAGAGAAGGACCGAGGTCCTTATAGATTAGAGGTCCCTGCAGCAGGGGACTCCCTTCTTGGCTGTTCCAGTTCTGCACACAGCCAGGGGACACACCCAGGATGGCACTGGACTTATCCTCCATTAACTTTTTCTTGATCTACATACTTAGTTTCTTTTCCAGCAGAGCAGGATCTAGTGTTGAGTGATCTACAGACTTCAGTACTCCTTTCACAAGATAGTGAGAGTTATCTCAACCTCTTAGTTACAGAGTATCATAGATCTCATGGAATCTCACTGAACATACCTGCTCACAAACTGCTGGAAGGGTGGTGTGCTTGTCCACCTTCACGTTGGGGTTCCCCTGGAGTCTAAGATTTCCCGGGCAAAGTTTTTCTGCATGCCCATGGCTCTGAGGTCTTTGCTGGGGTTTGGGGTGAGCTATGAGTCTAGGTGGTAACTGGGACAGTATCCAGCAAAGTTGAATTTAAAGCAAAAATCATCACCAGAGTAAAGAATTCACTACATAATGACTTAAGCTCCAAGATACCAGGAAGATCGGACATTAACACACACAATAATGTTTGTGATTGTTAGCATTCATAAAGGTTGAACACTGATAAGATTCATAAAGCAAGCACTGACAAAATTAGGAGGAATATTAACAAATCAACCCTTATAAAGAAGATTTTTAAGGCATCACCTCTTTTTCTTTTTTTTTAAAGATTTATTTATTTATTCATATAGAACTGGGGTACAGGCCATAGATTTGGAGGGTGAGAGGATTCACCAGAGACAGAGTGGGGAGCAGAACAGGCAGATCAATGAAGTACACTGCTGAGGGAAGCAGCGGGCGGGTCAGGAGAGGTCTGCCACGCCATGTGGATCTCCTCCAGGGCAGGCGGGAATCGAACTCATGCGGAAGTGGCTTAAGCTTCTTAGTGCAGTGCTTTAACCCGCTGCATCACCAGGGAGGGCCAGGTATCACCTCTTAATTGACAGATCAGGTAGACAGAATTAATAAGGATAGAGATTTTGAGCAAAAATAATGGATAAATTTAAAATATGGCACTTAACACTTAAAGAATACATAGCATATTTAAGCATGCCTGGCATTATCAAGGAAATGGACTGATGCTATCCTGTAAGGAAATGTTTAAGAAAATTTCATAGGCTTAACTCCTATGCAGACTGTAGTATCTGAGTCCATGCAATTAAATTAGAAATAAATAACAAATAGATGCTCAATATATGCTTGGAAATTGAAAAACTGTAATTCTATGTAATTCCTAGATTAGAGACTAATAATAATGGAAATGAGAAAACATTTGATAATAAAATGATAAGTATCCAAATTTGTGATAAACCAGCACAATTTAGAGGAAAAGCTACTCTTACACATACATGCTCAACGTAAAAGGAAAATGAGTGAGGATCCAGATTAAGAAATGGAAGACACTGCAGCTGTGACCAAGCAAAGGACCCTGAAAGAGGGTTGTCCTGGATCTCCTAGTTGATTTACACAGTCACAGAATTTCTTGTAGGAAAAAAGGGAGGCAAGACAATGAGAGAAAGAGATGTTTGAGGAAGCAAGTTCAGAGAAAGGGAAAGAGATTTGAAGATGCTATGCTACTGGTTTTGAAAATGGGAAAAGGGCCCCCAGCTAAGGAATGTGGATGGCATTTAGAAGGTAGAAAGGAAAAAGTGACTATTCTCTCCTGGAGTATCTAGAAGGGAATAGAGCTTTGCTAACACCTTGATTTTACTCCACTAACTGTAAGGTAATAAATTTACATTGTTTTTGATCACTAAGTTTTTAGTAATTTGTTCAAATGATAAGAAAATACAGTGGGGTTGGTTTAGTTTGGATGGTTCTTCTCTTTCTGCATAGAGTCACATCTACTCAGACTATCCTGGGCAGGGCACGTGGTTGTGGGAGTTTC